TGAACGTTGAATGTATAGAAATTAAGGTACCTGGTGACATCAAATTTTATATATATGTACTCTGAGAGTGACTCATGCCATTAAGGGCTCTCACTATTCCCAAAGTGACTGTCTTGTGAAAGGTATTCAAGTTTTGAGCTCAGGAAGGATCACTATCCTTTACTTATTAACTCTTGGGAGATTCTGTTTTTGACTGGTTTTTCGGTTGGCAATGGGTCTTATTGCTCAATTGTTCAGCTCTGGCATGCATTTGTTGAATACAGATTTAAAAAAAAAAAAGTTGATCTAAGGTTGTGATAACACTGTTCTTGGTGATGGTTGCCAAGTGAGGTGACATGTAAAATAGACACCGCCATAAAATGAATAAACCTATTCGTGACTTTTTTTATTCATAGCTGCTGGTGATGGTTGGTTAGTGAATTATAATGTTCATATCACTGGCTAAATATTTGATTTGTATTTGGGTAAAGAATAATATTGTTGCTTCAATTATTAAAGTTAATCCCCTGATCTAGCGTTAATGTAAAAATGCAACATTAAAAAGCTGATTTATGTGCAGTGAAATGTGTGTAAAGAAGCTGAAATAAAGTTTATAAAATAGTTGTATGATTAATACATTCGCTTTAGGGAAATTTTGCTTAGACAGATTAGTGTTCAGTAAACTCTTCACTGTATTCAACGGGAATGGACAGTTGAGAATGAAAAGAGAACATTGTGCAATTGCGCGTAAAATTCAAGCGCCTGAAGAAGTTGGCCCTTTTGCCACCATTTGTCATTTTTTGCCACACTAAAACACAAAGTAGTACTTCCTATGTTCAGCTAGTTTCTAACAAACCCAAATCATGAAAACTTATGATTGAAAACTGCAAAAAAAAACAAGCGACCTCATGGTCGAAAAAGTCTATTCTGTACTATGAGATATCAGCTATTTGCCATGGTTATTGTTCCCACAATGATATTGCTACAAAATGAACTAATATGATAGAGGTCCAGCCATTATTTATTGGGCTTGTAAATTATCAAGAAGTAGTCAGATGAAATGGACGGACGAACGACAGACACAGACAGACAAGTGATCAAGCAGCTCATCTCTTATGGACGGCAGAGCTAAAAATTGGTCCAAAAAATAATGGCGGTGAAATTGTTAAGGTAGCAACAAGGGAAAAAACTGTTAGAAATTAATCTGTGATTCAGACATTCCCTAAGTTACTAAGCATGGTACTATAACAACCTTTACGTCATTCAAGAGTTTAGATATAGGTGAATACAGTAAACTTTTCATCACCAGTTCCCCTTTTCATCACCAGTTCCCCCTTTTCACCACCAGTTCCCCCTTTTCATCACTAAATGGTCCTGTTTATAGTCTGCACTTTCGTTCAAAAAATTGGGACAAAATTAGCCAATTTTTTTTAGTAAAAACTATAAATTGACCCAAATTTCATCTCCAAAATTCAGGTTAATTTCCAGAAATATTGAAGAATATAAGAAAAAAGTGCGGAATAATTTGGGTAAGAAAGTCTGGTGGTGAAAATATTATTAATCCAAAGGTGGTTTTACACTTTGCAAGGTTTCCAGCTCTATATTCATTTTGGAGTTTCATGACAATGTACAAGAGACCTGTCCTTGGCAACTTTACTAATAGGAACAAAATCAGTGGGGGGGGGGGGGTCTCCCAGCTCTCTTGAAAGTCAAAAGTAACCTGTCGATAGAATTTAAAGTAAAATGTATGAACCCAGCTCAAGAGAGAACCAAAGTTAAATGCTTGTAGCCACTGAAAGTGAAACATAAAATTCTATTCTGGGCTGTCTATCGCCTTTTCAAAATCAATAGCCATTAGTAAACCAGTCGTGTCAGTGTCCTTTGTGTATGGCATAATCCCTTCATTTAATCGGACACACTGGCCAATTTACGGGCTTGCACACAGTCTCCTGGTGAAAATTCGTCTTGTACGAGATCGCCAAAAAAATCACCATGATTCAGTGGTGTGACCACGCAAAGACTTTGCTTGGCTGCCTCCCACAAAGTATGCCTATAGAACTATACGTTTCCTCATACATCTTCATGATCCAACTGTGCAAGGTGGTGAAACTTTCTGAAACGCATGCCATGTTTGAAATGTCAAGTTAATTGTTCCATATTTGAATTCAAATTCAAAGGTAAAATGCAAATGCACTGTTATGAATGTAATGCCGAAATGCATATAATAGTTTTTACAATCAATCTGAGATTTGGCATATAATATGGAAATCTGACCTGTATGTAAATAGTGTAGAGAGGTCCATATATCACACCCAATAAAAATGATGACTTTTTTTGTGTAAAATGAGGACAATCCATGTTGTGTAGTTGAGTGTATTGTAAAGAGTCATAAAAGTGAGTCTCTCTTGGATTGTCTCGGAATATTGATTAGCATGGTGTAATCTTTAACCACTCCAGAATGAAAATCAATCATTTTGAAGAACCTGATGACAAATTGGGGTAGGGTAGGGTAGGGTAGGGTAGGGTAGGGTAGGGTGTGTACAAAGCAATAAAGACAAACTTGACAACAATTAATTAGTTCTTGTAAGGTATGCCGGCTTATATAATATTTATTCTGAAATACATACAGTGATATTAATTTATTTCTGGGGTACTCGGTGTACAAATCTGTTCTCTCTATTGTCATACATTTTTTGTTGGAATATTATTTTTCATTAGAAAGAAAAAGTAATATTAATAACTGTTACTTCATGTGACTAATGCTTGTTAAAATATGAGAGTTCATTTTTTTCCTTTGTAGAGAATGCTAGTAATATTAGTCTTGTCAGTATCAATCTACTTGCAGGTGAAATGAATCGTTTTGATAGGAGATGAATTGTACACAGAATAAATGTTTATTTTCGGATACTTTGTAGTGCTTTGACAATATTTACAGTGTTGTATTTGAGGATACAACTAAAAGCGAAATGTTGAGAGCATGATTAAAATAGAGATAAATCATACGTTTTAATTTATATGGGAGAAAGAACAAGTACTTGGCTTGCACACCATTAATAGAGATGAATCGACGTTGTTTTAAGACTCTTCATTTTTTGACACCATGCGTCATGAAATGAAATGCCTGAAATGATGAACAAATTAATCAGGATCACTATATTTTGAGGACCTCATACAAGCTAACAGCACTCTTGAGAGCTGTAAAAATTATCCACCTCGATCCTGCATAATTCAGTCTAGCTGACTTAACCCAGCATAGAGTAGTCTGCAATGAAATAGAGGTTCATTTGCTCATTGTATTAAAACAATAATGAAAACAAATTAATGAGGTTGTGAACTTAATTTTGGATTTTTTTTGGTTTTAGCATTTCATTCCTACCAAGCATGATATGTATTGTGCAGTTCAGGAAATTAAGAAATTTATACTGTAATGTGTATGATTTTTTTAGATGCAGAATAATTTTAAAATTAATTACATTTCAATTTACGTGATTATTGTGCGCCCATTTTTATTAATATGTTCTAGCAGTTAAATGGCACACTCATTTCACTCAATTGCTAATTGTATTGCCTGCACATTCATAGCAATGCACGTCAATTGAAATTGCAATAATATTGATCAAATGTTGACATCTATATTTATTTCTATGGATTATTTCCAAGGCCTTGTTTATAATTTTAGAATAACTCCATACTTGGTGTTATGCAGGTTTTAAATTGTAACTATACTCCATGCAAGTGGTGGTGGAGTATAATTTAAATTCTGTGGAAGGACATTGAGAGTTGTGAAACTAAAAATGCTGGTACATGTATTACAGATTCTGGGAGAATAATTTTTCTCATTTTGACAAAAGTCAGCAAACATGTCAATAGTGTTATTCACTGAGGAACTAACATTTCCGATAATGGCCATAGAGGGCCCTATTTACTAAATTCATTTGATGCGCACCATTACTGCTTTAAAAACTGATGCAATATAGAGCCTTCAATGCACTACACATTAATACAGTGGGTGATGATGCAGGAGAGATGTGACTATATTAGTTGGTATGTAGCTGGAAGTAAAAGATCAGTTTTGCTGCAAAAGCTCATTCCACACTAAATTTGGCTTTGTCAATTGTTATTTCAATTTAAGGAAAGTAAGTGAAAGTATTCATCTTTGTTCAACACAACGATGTAGTGGAATTGGCTTTTGCATAATTATTTGAAATGCATCAATTTGTTATTCTTGTGGGTTTTCCCTCCATTCTCTTGCTTCTCTTCTTCATTCATACGTTGTGTAGTATTTCCAAATACAGTACTGGTACTAAGAATTAATTGGGACTGAGAAAGTAACTGGCACTCTCATTTAAATTCTATGTCAAATTATCATTTCTTTTGTATTTTAGCGGTTAATATTTGTGCTGCAGCAGGTGTTTTATCACTAGTATCACAACTAGATTGATTTTCATCAAATTTCTCAATTCATCTGAGAGGTTTTGCTCAACACTACCTAATAATTTCTCACTCAATTTCGATTTCTGAATTGAATATTTTTTTGTTTGTAGTCGGCTGTTTGCTAAAGAATTTGATTGGATGATTCCTAAATGATTCAATTTAAACTCGTAATTTTGAAATATTCTCTTGATAAAATTCTTGACAATCTTAAATACACATCTGCCTGAGGTAATATCTTTGCTGAATCATAACAGTAAATTTGTCATGTTATCAATTTAATATCGGTTATTAAAAATTTTAAGTACAATAATACTCAACATGCTTAGTTACAAATTTGTTGACATTCCAATAGATAAATTATTGACTTTGTTAACCTGGATAAGGTCTAAATTCAGTGATTACACAGAGCATTATAGAGTTAAATACACCTGTGACAGCACACAAAATCATTGACAATTTCTGAATGTTTCTGATACGACTTTTTCTTCAAAGATTTGTTGGAAATACTACTGGAAATGGTTCTTTTGAAAAGTAGTCTTCAATTATTACTTTGTTAACCAATGGTTATGTATAATTTCTCTACACAGGCTGGTTTTAGCAGTAGTATCGGCTATGGAGCAATCCAGGGAAGGAATTTCTAACTTAGGAAACTGCTATTCTTTTTACAACAACAACAACAATCGTCAGCTCACTGCCTTTTTTCTACATGTGACAAACTACTAATCCAGACTGAATATAAAGCTCTTAAAAATAAGGAGTAATATGCATGTATGTCATCCATGGAATTTTTTAAAACTACTTTTATTCATTTAATCTATCCAGTTTTGTGGATCTATAAAGCTCTTTGTGAATCCATGAGAAAACAGCTCTATTTGATTTTGGGTTGATTTTCTATGAAATTCTTCTAAATTTAAAGACACTACAAATATACACATGCCTATATCCATGGTAATGTTTCTTTGTTTCAACACAATCACTATGTATTATACTATTTTAATGGGTAAATGGTAAGATAAGGATTTTTAATTAATTTTCTTAATCATTAGCTTTTTAGATGTGTAGTGTAATTGTTTCTTAGTCGTTAGATGTGTTTGATTAGTAAATATTCTTATTTGCTGTTTTAATATGAATTACAATTTTCATTCAATAATGGGTCATATAGAGGTATAATTAAGTCCTTCAATGTGATTTAATAATTTCATTTTTTTTTTAATTTTACCACAATTTTAAATACTTTAAAGATTTGACTCCTCACAATCCTTAAAAAAAAAATGACACAAATTCCTAAGAAAGAGAAAAGGTTACTCTATTTTTTTGTACACAAGGTCTTATCCATGCAGCAACTTTTTAAAAAAAATACTACTTATGTTACCATTGTAGTTTTTGTAAGATATGTAGTGGTGAATCGATGAGAGCCTCCAAAAAATGAAGCTCTATATTTTGACAAACCAAAGCTTCGTTTAAAGAGGGCTTTATATATACACATTACACAAAATTTAAAGAGTCACAGTTCAGCTGAAGAAAAACCTTGATGACTGTGACAGGATGTATCTATGTAAATTTTTATTGTATCTATGCTGTTTAAAGTGTGTTGTAGTAATGGGAATGATCAGTTCTCCAGCAGGAGTGTAATTGCGGTGTACTTAAAAAAAAATCATAAGTTTATTTTGATAAGAGCAAGAGTGTTAATGTCACGTATGTATGTATGTATAAAGACAGACCTTGTACAACAGGTTGACCATCTACAAGCTGGAGTTGCTAGATGGCTAAGGCATGTAGAACACTGGAAACAACTATCATTAACCTGTTCACACTGGAGGAAAATGTCCCAATTTAATGCTTATTTACTGGACAAGAACAGAGTTGCAGTGTTACCTCGGCTATGCTTTTTAATGCAGTGGGAACTGTTTCAAAATGTGTAGTAATACTTGAATTATGGAAACGTAGTACTTAGAAAGTACTGAAGTACAGTTTTTTCTGAAGAATAGCCACATGTCATTTCAACAATTTGGGTTCTAAGCACTACTTGTGAAATGTCATCCACAAAAAAAAAAAAAAACTTTGTATTGCATAACAAAGTTCTTCGGTACTTCAGTTATAGCAAGATCTCAAATTCTCAAAATTAGTTAAATTAACATTCTTGCTCAAAAGATTTATTTTTACAGTAGCAACCAGAGGGAACACTGTAAATCTGAGGGCACCAACCTGCCTTACTCAAAAGTGTATAAATTTGTAAATTGTCACTCAAAGACGTTTCCTCTAGCGATAACAAGGCTAATACCGTCTGTACTGATACTCATGGATACCCATTAAATGATTATAACCCATAGGATTTTTTTTCTATACATACTATTGACTATACATTTAGAATGATCAGCTATCCAATTTCTTGTAGTATAGCTCAGTGTTCTTTCAAACCCCAACAGAAAAGAAAGCTGTAACTTGGTACAATACGGAATATCTCATTTACTATTTCATGGAATTATTTACTTCGTTCATTAAGAGATATTTTTTAGAATGCTGAATGTAGTGGAAGACCATGTTATGACATTTACAGATTAGTTTTTAGGGATTTGACAGAACACTATGCAGGCCTGTCCAGTTAATAATTTATTAATATTCATTCTTTACAAAGAATATTTTATGATCATACAATTGTGAAAAAACAGGATGCTTAGTAGCGATGGAACAAATACTTTTTTTGTTTTTAAGTATGTTCAAAATTGTTTGGTTAATAATGGATAGTAAATTATTAGCGATATAATCGGCCATGGTTTGAATATTTACCAAATGACAGTATGAAGTCCGCTATATGGTTGGTGTCGCATCTTTGCAAACAATGTTGTGTGGCAATATATTCGGTTGTTGCTAGAGTGTAGGCACTCTCCAGAACATGAAGTGTCTTTCTGGCAGGTACCTACACTCTGGCTTAACTTTTTAAAATGACAATTACTGGTCAGCCCTCTGACCTAACAATACAAAGAATCTACCTTTTTGAGCCGCAATATTTCTTTTATCAGTACTATTTTACATCATGAAATTAATGGCCAAAATTGTGAACAATTTCAGCTTTTTTTTATTATTTTTTATTTGGAAAACTGAATTTCAAACATGCATCCCTATGGATATTTTGGAAGAACTTGCCCCTTTTTGTTTTAACAATATTTTCTTTAGATCTCTGATATTAAAGATTGTATTTTGAATAAACAGCTGGATTTTTAGAAGACATTGCTACAATGAATTGTTACCACACATTTTGGATACCAAGTTTTGTTTTTGACAACTGATATGTTTGCAATATCGTAAATATGGAGTTTATATTTATTACTTATTACACATTGTAATTACAAGTTATTGGCACTGACATGGTAAGGATTGAATTGTGAACTTTTTCTCTGATTCTTGAAATTCAATTCTTCCATCGAGTGATCCTGACTTCATTGTGAAGTTAGTCAATGGGCTTGGCTGGATCAAACCAGGAACTTGTCCATGGAGGTGGAAGGGTTGATTTGTCAATCAACGGCAACAAAATAATTTCGCTACAAAATGCAAAAAAAAGGTTGTAGCTCTTGTTCTCATTACCCCATTTCCATGTTAGATGACAAAAAAGTTATCCGCGTTATCTGGAGTGAAGACTGTGGAGCTGCCTTTCTTATGGATGCAAATTTTTAAAAATTTGACGGGTACTCTGCAGATAAAGCAAATGTGCTAATATATAAGAACTTCAGGGAATTATAATAAAAATTGTATTGTGAATTTTTCTCCATGTCATGTAATAATACTTCAATATTTCTCACATTTATTAAGTGTGTGATACATGGCTTTAAAAGCCTGTCATTTTTAGCTCTGCCTTGTGTAATTTTTTAACTGTGACGGTCAGTGTACATGCTGCAAATATCTCTTTAATTCCAGCGTGTCGTGTTATTGATAGTTGTGTTCTTTGTCTCCATGAGTGTCAGTGCTTATGCATAGTGTTGTGTATTATGGTAATTTGATTAAAATGTAATAGAAACAATGCCGCAAGTGTTGCAGGCAATGTCTGCTATATTTTAGCTATATCTTTAGATGTCAGCAGTTCATTTAAATTGAAGTGTTGCAGCATATTCATGTATGAATGAAAAAGACATAGATTTTACCAAAGCTGAATTTTTAAACTTTTACCGACAATAAGAAAACAAGTGCCGGAAATCAGGGTACCATAGCTTGTATATGAAAAGTAAGTTTTTATTTTCATTTATGAAAACTATGGGTTGGTATCTAGGACAGATAATGTTGTGGTACATAAAAAAGGTAGATCTAGAAAGTACAAACTGTTTATGCTCTGGATGTACTGCTTCATCATGCCAGGTTTCAGTGAGAAAATATTGTGGCTCAAAGTCACTTGCTAGATTTTTTACTAGTGTAAAGTAAATTTATTGTAGCATGACTTACAAGATCTGTAATACGCTATAAGCAACCTAGACGAGATCTCAACAATTATTTATTTTCTGTATCTCATTGAGTGAAGCAGTCCTCCAGAACCTGATCATGGTTGTACAAAATTTGGGGAAATATTTTTGACAGCATCCAGTACTATGAGTTTGAATTGTGTCTCTGATTTTTTCTGAGGCTTTACACCTATTAAAAAAAATGCCAATATTTTGATATTTTGGAATTGCGGTGTGCAGAATTGTCCACACTGTGGCATTGTTTCTAATTACTGTGAATTTGTAGCTGTACTGGATAAACAACACATTGTATGTTTATTAAACATGTCTGTAAATGGAAGCATTAGTCTTATTGTAATGTAGCTGATCTTAAGTATTTTAGTGAATCAATTAAGGTAATTAATAATTAGACATTAATATTATATAGTGTATTGAAGGACTGTTAGGTGAATCTGTATAAATATTTTCCACATTATTAAGTCATTGTACACTAGGAAGTAAATTCAAGAACAAAACTAGTTAACTTATAAAATTATTTTTATGCCAATGTGTGTTGGTGGATGGTCAACATACATGTGCTGTCCATCATCATAAAACTTAAAAAAAGATTTATGAATCCCCTGGGATGTATCAGGGATTGTATTATTTCTATTTTTCCCTCAAATATTTGTTTTCTCTTTGACATTGTAAATGCTTTGGTTGGTGAGAATTTTTGTAAAGGATAGAGTACTGTATTTTCGGTTAGTAGGATAGCAATGTAAACAAAAGGGCATTGTTAACACATAACTAGTCACTTCCTAGTGCCAGTGATGGTAGTGGAAAAGTAGTATCTTCTTGATTTTCTTGTATTATCTATAGAAATTGTGGTTTTTACAGACCAAGGGTTTTATCACACAGATAATCTGTGCAGTTATCTTTTAACAAGAAATTTTAATGGGAACATTTGCAGTCTTCTTGCGAAAAGAGAAATCTTGAATCATGCTACCTTAAAATCACGGCAGATGACGGGTAATTTTTTATACTGAAGTGAGATTGTACTACTAGCTTGACTTAAAATGTGTTAAGTAGGTATGGCCGGAGATTGGAAGACCAGTTTTCACGGTCCATATAAATATGTGTAGCAGTCATGGAATTTCAGCATTCACTAGCCTAACAAATAGGATGTGACACTAACTAGAATATGTCTTTT